CAGGCGGGGATCTTGGTAAAGAGGAGTAATTTTGGCTAAAATATATAATTTGAAATTTAATATTTTCAGAAGTCCCATTAAAAGCAGGACTTTTATTATTAATGTTATTAATGATATCTAGAACTGCTAAAAACTGAGATTGATTTATTATGAGGGTTAGACAGTATACTGATCTATACTAATTGATGGAATTTAAGGATAGATGTAAAAGTTTAGATTTAATATAATAGAAACAGAAGAATCATTCATAGATAATTGTGATGATACAGGAGGGCATAAATAGTTTCTATTATAAGTTGTTCAGTTAACAAGCATTTGAAATACATCTGCTCTGTGGAAAATATTATACGATTAAGAGTACACAAAGATTAGAAGACACAACCTCTACTATCAAGGAGTTCATAATCTAGCTAAGCTTCTAGATTTYCATAGGCAAAACAAAAACAAAATCCAAAAGCTTGACCTGCATTTTACACTTTACACAAAATATCAACTCAAGATGGATCCTACACCCAAATRTAAATCACAAACCTATAAACCTTTGAGAAAATTAGTTTGACATTGAGTTTTGCCTAAGTGTTTTTTGATACAAAAACAAAAACAAAACAGTCCAAATACACAGTGAAATGTGGAATATGTGCATTTTATTCCAAGATACTTCATAATTTGATGAGATTTACATTCTAGTGGAGGAAAATACACAACTTAATGGCAGGTGGTAAAGTATTCTATAAAATAAAACAGGGGGAAAGGAGGTAGAAAATGATATGTAATGCAATTTTAGATGTGGTGATCAAAGTGTTTCAGGGAGTGATATTTAATCAAACATTTAAACAAATATAATACTATCACATCGGAATTTTCTGAGGATAATACTTAAGATGTTTATCTTCTGATTGTATATCCTAAAATTATAATCTACCAAATTGAAATATTCTTATACCAGAGGAATTTTCATAATACTTACTTTCCATAGCTTTGTACTTTTTTTCTCAATTACAGATCTCAAGAGGCTGTGGGTTATCTGTAGGATGTTTTCAATGTATGGTAAGCATTCTGATTGATAATCAAAACTTAAAACATTGAAAATACCAATTCGCTTCTCAATGGCCATAGTCAAAACACATCGAAAGTAGTTTCGAAATTTATGTAGAATAGTTTTAAACTGTGCTGAAGATAATTCTTTCAAAGATGATATTTTCATACTCATGACTTTGGCTTTCTCAACCATGGAACAATATTTTAGAAATTTGTAGCTGTAAATACTAACTAGGCCCATTGAATCACCAATAACAGTCAGGAGACTCACAATCTATAAATAAAAATAT